CCCCCCCCCCCCCCCCCCCACGTATAGAGATTTATAGATTCTATCGCCTTTGGGTTAAGGGGTTTAGACTTAGGCTTGGATGTGTCCCTGCTTTTCAACACGGGCCTGCAGCTCTTCATCGGTCATCCTCTCACCGAGCTCCTTCGCACGGGTTCTTGCAGGTCGCGGGTTCAACCGCACAGGCTGGCAAAAGTGGCAAGTTGGTCTTCGGGCGAAAGCCTCCAGAGACCGTATACACCCATGCGGAGATCTCTCTCTCTCTCTCTCTCTCTCTGTCTCTCTCTGTGAATCCCCAAGCCTTAAACCCTTCTGGACTTCACTCAACAATCTCTCTGCCAAGTCCTTGGCCACGCGCTTGAGGTTCTTGAAAGAAATCTTGCCAGTCTCGTCATCGTCGAAGAGGCGGAAAGCCTGAACCCGGGCTTTCGGGCCTGGGGTGCAATGTTAAGGGCCTGAATAATTCGACGAGGTTCTCGGGTGACGTCATATGCCAAAACGACACCACCAACAATCATTCAGAATCCTGTAAACGGGTTTGAACGAAGAATGCCTTGAATGCCCCAGCTCTCTCAATGCCCATAAAAACGCAGCGTGGGGCTCAGCCCCAAACCCGAAGGGCCCCTGCAAGCCCAAACTCAAACTCCAGGCCGCTAAGCCCAGATCTTAAACCCTGAACCCATCTTCCCTAAAGCCTGAATTAAAACAAGGGGTCTGAATAATCGATCTGCTATCCCCACATTTAGTATCAAAGATTCCCCAAAAGGGTTTTGCAGCATACAATAGTATGCCCCAAAGCCTGAGTATAGTCCTCCATGCGTGCCAAACCACAAAGGCTCTCCAACCCTTCTGCTCTGAGATTCGAAGAAGCATTGATCTGGGCTTGTAGAAAGCCCAGCCGGCAGTTAGGGCTTTCGACTATGGGTTTGGCAACTCGGAAACCCTAAAATGGAGCCTAGGGCTCGGCGCCCCCTTCTGCTTCAGGCCTTGAGGATCTCATCCTTCGGATCGCGGTTCAGGATCTTGTGGGTCATCATCTTCAAGAACTCCTGGAGGTGGGTGGAGGTTCATGGCTCCGCTTTCAAGTTGCTCTAACACGGGCGAAACTCAAAATGACCGGGTGTAGGGTGTCGGGGGTTTGCATTTCACAGGGCTCAGGGATTGGGAATCAGCTTTGCACATAGCACCCCGTGCCTTCTCCGCTCATGTTTTGAACGCTTGCGACAAGCGGCCGGGTTTGCATGACGTATGGGATTTCAGAAAAGCTTGAACCCCCCTCAAAAACAGGATGCTTACTGGCGGGACGAGTACAGAAGGTACCCCTACTCCCGTATCGTCGAGTGAAGTGTAGCAGTGCTCCTCGTAGCCAATGGTTCCGCTTCCGTCATCGTCGACGTCGGAGATCATCTTCCTCGCAGGGAAATTTAGCGGATGCCAACAACAGACCCCGAAAGCCCAGAGATTCGACGTCGGAAGCGTAACTGCTCGGAGAGACCGCCGGTAGCGACAGAGGCCCCGGCTGGATCTCTTCCTGGCCAAAGGCACAGCAGGAGCTTTTGCGATTTGACTCAGAGGTCCGGGCCACAGCATGTCAATGGGCTATAATATACATAATTATATCTATATGTAAATATGTATATATACACACAAAAAAATGCGTTTATTCATGTATTTATGTGTATATGTGTACAAAATAGTGGCCTCACTCAGTCGACCACGGCTTCAAGGAATTTTGTCGCAGCGTTACATAGGGACCAAATTAGATACAGTTCTAACTCTTCGACCTCCATACTCTTCAATATGATACAAGAACATAAGCCCTACCCTAATCCGTGAACCCTGAAGCCTTTAGTCCATTCAACCCTCACCCTCGCTGCTTGCCCTGCTCGACTAAAAGCTCCATTAAAGGAAAAAGCCTAAGAAGCCCATTGAAAGAAGCATAGGAACCCCATACAGAAAGTCTTAAGAAACTCATGAAAGAAACACGAATAAAGCCGATGAAACCCCATGGAGGCTGCTAGCAGAGATGCTAAAGAGATGGATATTGCTGATCGGTATCCCGGTGTTCTGAAACAGCCAGTATAAAGAACCTTCACAGACATACACATATACCTCTATGTGTATATATACACATACTTATACTACATATATGTACATATACATATTATATATATATATATACATTCATATACATATTATATATATACATATACATATACATATACAAAAAGCATATACATATACATATACATATATACATATACATATACATATACATAAATTACGTGCATACATACATACATACATACATACATACATACATACATACATACAGATATGTATGTATGTATATGTGTATATATATATATATATCATGTAAACAGGAGAAAAAACAAGGGTGCCTTCTTGGGCTCGAAGCCCAAGGCGCGCATGGCGACCTTCAGCTCCTTGGAATCGATCTCACCTGGCGCTTACATGAGGGTTTAGGGTTTCAGGTTTCAGGGTTCCGGGTCTAGGGTTTAGGGTTTAGGTTGCGGCGCTCAGGGTTTGGGGCTATTTTGCGAGGTTCTTCACTCAGAAATTCAAAACAACCAGGCTCCGTGGCTTCGACACTGAAGACGGCAAGCTCTTGCAGTTATGACTCGACAATTTCAGGTCGCCCCTGCCTGAGCCATCTGTGTCGAAGAGGTCGAAAGCCTTCGAAGTTTACTGAGCCCAGGAGTAATCTGGGCTCTAGGCTCGGTGGCGTGGTTTTAAGGCTTCTCGGATGCAGCTCCCCCCCGAACTTCAACACACTCGGCTCAAAGCCAGGAGAACTGGGCCTCCTTGATCTCCTGCTTCTGCTCCTCAGTCAGCTCCTGTGGACTCAGGGGTTCAGAGGGCGGATATTGGGTTAAGGCTTCAGGGTACCTTCGAAAGGGGACCTCGAGGTCCCAACGAGGCTCCAAGCCATGTACCCAATCCCGGAGATCTCAGCCACAAGCTCTACTTGATCGGCTCACCTTCTGCTTCTTTCCGCCAGCGTTGAAGCGACGGAGCCTGAGCGACACTCTCCGAGTTGGGTGCTGCAGGAAGTACTCTGGGCATGTTCCAGGGGCCTATACATCGTAACTTTGTACTTCCAACAGTGGTGTATTGTAGGGGGCCATCAGGAAAACTTCAAGCTGTTCTAACGCCTATATGATTCCCAACTTTGCAGCTTGGAGTAGACCCCCAAAGCCCTGACTTCCAAGGCAATGTATCAAAACGCTGCCTTTCTGAAAGGTCTGAAAGTCCTGGAGTGGGCTTTGTCGCAGCTTGCTGGATCTGGGAACTGCTATGGCTCAGTTCAAGGCCTTGGGGGTCCAGGGTAGGGTTTGTTGAACCCCTATAGCAACCCGATCCGGGTCCTGCTTCCACAGGGGACAAAGACAAGCACGACCCCGAGACCGCTTAAGCCGCTGAGCCCAAAAGCACTGAAGCACCCCGCTGGACCCCTCGACCGCCCTTTCAGAAGACGGCTTGGGGCTCTCACGCCATGGCTGGAAATCAGGCACGGAAAAGGCTGCGAGAATGCTTGCCGCTTGAAGCGCTGCGGATGGATTTCAATTCAAGCTTAACATCTGATTGTTTAGGGCAATTCGGTGTAGGGTCTAAGGCGTCACGGCTTGAGGGCATAAGGCCCTTAAGGCCTGGACCAGGACCAGAAGCCCCTTATATTTACCTTTCCATGAACAACGCTGGTCTTTGAATTTCAGGATTTGCATTGCATTTCCAATGGCCAAAAACATGACTAAGTGCCGCTGCTGAATGCGTCTTCTGCTTGGAAAATGTCATTTGTTTAATGCTGTCTTGAGTCTTGTGACCCTAATCCCTCAACTCTACATCCCTATGGAAAGCCTTGAGGTCTTTAGAAAACACAACCTCAAGAAACGCAAACAAAAAAAACATAAAAGCTCCAGACCCTCAGCCGCGAACTCCTTTCCCTCCGGAACCCCAACACCCAAACCCCAATTGGGCTCCAGCCTCCAAACCCCAAAACCTCCCCGCAAAAAAAGTTCAACTCTCAAACCCTAAAGCCCTGAAACACCCCAAAACTCGCGAACAAAACCTTTGCGCACCTGCTGCTGGGCGGCTTCACAGGCTCTGCCGGCCTCGACGATTCCACGCCAATGGGGTGTCAGAGCAATTAGAAATTGAATTCCGCTGGGTTTCAAACACAATGTACATATATATATATACAAATATTATTTATTTATGTCTATCTTATGCATGTATTTAGTTATGTTTTATTCTGTATTTATTTTTATGTAGTTATCTATCCATTTATGGAGCTAAAAAAAGTAGAAAAGCAGCCCTAAACCATTAGTCAAATTACTCATGGAGAACTACTATGGCTTTCTGTAAAGGCTTGACACTTTGAGTTTGCCGGGGAACTCAGTGGAATAGCATTACTCACTGCTTAGGTCTCCCGCTCTACGGCGATGTGGGGGTTCTAAGAGCGCAGAAAAGATTCTGTGTCGATTAGGGTCCATGCATGGTTTTAAGCTGTCGAGCTCTGGGCCTTGGTGTTGGGCGTTCAGGGAAGTTGAGAGTGGTAGTAAATGGCGCAGTGCCTTCATTCTAGGCGCTTCTGATGGTGGACCAACCCTAAACTCTCAACCCTATAAAAATTAAACGCACATGACACTGGCACACTAGAACCACTAGATTCCAACTCTATGACCATAAGATCCCACTACGTCTTGGAGGCTTCGCGCCTCAGCACCGAAGTGGGTGGCGGCCCTTTGGGTTGCCGCGGGCCTGTGAACGATTGCAAAAAGCCAACAAGTTTGAAAGGAGGGTGACTTTGGGTGTCTCAAACTCGGACTCACTGCACAAAGCTGGAAGCCTGGAAGCGGCTTGGACTGCGTTCGCGGACCTGCAAAAGGCTGAAGCCCTCCCACAACCCTAAGCCCACTCCGGCTGGAGCCAAAGATGTAGGAAAAGGAAGTGGGCTCAGCTCATTGGTTAGGGTCGGCCTGCACATCTCGCAACCCTGAATCGCGAGGCCTTGCGCCGCACTCGGAGGTGCCTGACGCAGAGTAAACGGAAGAGGCAGGGGTACCGAGACCGCCATTCTCCCTGGTATCTCAAGAGCCTCTCGGGGGTTCTGGGTCTGGGTCGGTGATCTGGGAAGAGAACACAACAACTTGTCGCTGAAACATTGAGGAAGGATCGCTATTCCCAAGCCGGGCCCCAGCCTCCCTCGGGGGCCGCGGCCCGTCATCATAGCCATTGGCCTTCAGTGGCAGCAGGCAGCCGTACCGTAGATGAATTGTAGGCTAGTTATCAGGGCCCTGTAGTGCGGATGAGCAGGAGCTCCATGATGATACCAACGCAGCAACTCGATCGGCAAAAGGCTCGGTGCCGTCCGAAACTTAAGAATGCCGGAACCTCGCTCTAGCCTTTCGAGAGCTGTGGGAGTAGCCCAGCCAGTTCTTGCCCAAGTGTCGCAAGACCCCACAAAGCTTGACCCCAAACTTTGATCCAGCTTCGCCTTCTTGGCGCCTCCCGCGGATACCTTTGGCTTCGGCCTTCGGCACGGCATAGGGGGGCACTTGGAGTCTCAGATGCAAGGCTTGCGGCCGCCGGCTCGAGGAAGATAAAAAGAGCATATGAAGCAATGACACGTGGATTTTGCTGGCTGGGAAGGTGGATGCGAGACATCAAAAGCCGAGTCTACACTTCAACCACCTTGGACCCGAGCAAGTTGGTACAAACACCGCAGTACCACAAGTCCTGACATGCCCGAATCTGCGCCTGGCCGGTGTGAAGCCCTTGTCAGCACCTTTGCAAGCGGGATTTGGAGGATTCGCTGGGATCTCACGGCTTTGCCAAGCCACTTCTGTCGCCAAAACCCGAAATCAAAATAACCCTGGTTCTGCGACCATCTTGAATCCATTTTTGCAGAGCCCCGCACTCAGGTTGGAGTTGGGCTTGTAGACCGACTTCGGCCTGCCAAGGAGCAGGTTTAGGGCTTGCTTTGCTTACCCTGCACTAAGCCTAGGCGCGATGGCCCTAAACTCTAACGCGCAATCCCCGACGTTCTCCGGACATTAAGTGCTTGAGTTGTTGCTGCATACATTGGAAGGCACGA